CAAAATGTAATTACGACTAGACAGAAAGACATTGTTGATATCTACAATGTTAATTTCCGGATAGGCAAACTTAGCTTTTAAATGTTAAAAGGGCTTGCCATACACGGACGTAGGCTCAGAGAGAGTATTCAAACCAAAATATCTGACTTCCTCTTGGTCTGAGCTAATGACTATGAATTAGAAAGTTGTCTGGCTTGAGGAGTACAATGTATATAACGATTTTTGTAACTGTAGATAAAAATAACAACCCCACTTTTGTCAAAAGGTGGCGCTATTTAGTCGCTGCACCATGCCCGTTTTCTGAAACTTTGCACATGTCTACTGGCTAATAAATGTGATGTGTCTGTTGAGTTTCATGCAATTTCAAGCATGCTAAGAGTCTCAAAAGCATCCTAAAATAATTTCAAAGTTTGAAGCTTTGCCAAGGCAACAGTTTAAAAAGTATCAAGAATCCATTCCCAGGTCTACATCTACCGTATGTTTACATTATACAGATGAAGTTTTTCATCTGTTTTTCATCATTATACAGATGAAGTTTTTCATCTGTTTTACATTATACAGATGAAGTTTTTCATTCATATTATTACATGCAAGCGTGTTTGATTTATGGACCAAGTTTTCGGACCCGTTCCAGGGGGCGCTGTCTAGCCCCCTGCCACGCCTAGGTACCATCTTCAGCCCGGGCCTGATGGCTGTGGGATATGACCTGTGTGCAAAGTTTCAAGAGTTTTCAAACCCGATAAGGGCCTCAAAAGCCATTAAGAGTCTCAAAATCATCAAAAAAAAAAGAATTTTTAAAAGTTTGATGCGTTGCCACGGCAACAGTATCAAAGATATCAAGAATCCATTCACAGGTCTTCATCTGCCATGTATTTACATTATACAGATGAAGTTTGAAGCAAATCGGGTAAAAATAAGAGGTTGATTTCAAAGCATTTTGAAAGTGACACACTTCCTGCTGCCAGTTGGTGGCGCTATAACTTTGACTCGAAATAGTCTAATCCATGTGATCGTCCTCTTACAGCCAACACACTGATGAAGTTTCATCAAGATATGTTAATGTATGCTGAAGTTATAACACACTTCCTGTTTCACGTTTCTCGCCATAATTTCGTTTCCTCGCCACGGCCAAACCGTTTGAGATATCAAAAATCCCCTCACAAACTTTCATCCTCAATGTCTTGACTTCTTGCACACCGAGTTTGGTTGTGATTGGTAAACACATGCGTTGTAATTTGATGTATTTCTCCTAGGACAACTATTCAAACAACCCATAATTCTCAACTTCCATTTTAATTGTCGTAAAACTTAGAGCACGAAAGTTGTTTGGCCTGATGTGATCTATAATTGTACCGAGTTTCATATTAATTCACGCAAGTGTGTTTGATTTATGGACAAATGTTCGAATCCCAGTCCAGGGGGCGCTGTCGAGCCTCCCTGCCACGCCCGATGACCAGCTTCAGCCCGGCCCTGATGGCCATGGGTTCTGACCCGTGTGCAAAGTTTCAAGAGTTTTCGAGGATGTTAAGGCCCCCGAAAATGCCAGAGAAGTCGCACACAGCAAATAAAGGGTTAAAATTAACCTGACAGGCGCCCCTCCTCTCACTCACACAGAGAGACACTGAGAGACTGGCAAAATTCTAAGATTTTCTCTACATTCAAACAAAATATCTGACTTTCTGTGGGTCCTAGCTAATGAGTGTCAATTAGAAAGTTGTCCGGCTCGAGGAGTACAATATACATACCGATTTTTGTAACTCTAGTTAAAACTAACAACCCCACTTTTGTCAAAAGGTGGTGCTACTGAGCCCTCACCACGCCCGTTTCTGAAACTTTGCACATGTCTACTGGCTAATAAATGTGATGTGTCTGTCGAGTTTCATGCGATTTGAAGCATGCTAAGGGTCTCAAAGCATCCTAAAAGAATGGTAAAGTTTGATGCGTTGCCACGGCAACAGTTTCAAAGATATCAAGAATCCATTCACAGGTCTACATCTGCCGTATATTTACATTATACAGATGAAGTTTGAAGCAAATCGGGTAAAAATAAAAGGGTGATTTCAAAGCATTTTGAAAGTGACACACTTCCTGCTGCCAGTTGGTGGCGCTATAACTTTGACTCACAATAGTCACATCCATGTGATCGTCCTCTTACAGCGAACACACTGCTGAAGTTTCATCAAGATCAGTTAATGTATGCTGAAGTTATAACACACTTCCTGTTTCACGTTTCTCGCCATAATTTCGTTTCCTCGCCACGGCCAAACCGTTCGAGATATCAAAAATCCCCTCGTAAACTTTCATCCTCAATGCCTTGACTTCATGCTGACCGAGTTTCGTGCCGTGTGTTTGAATTCTCTAGGAGGAGTATTGCACATTCCATTGCGAGCGTTTTACAAACAAACCTCAATAGCCGACTTCCTGTTGGGCTGGGGTAAAAAGTAATAGTTTGAGGTATATATGAACGATGAGATCAACATGTGTACCGAGTTTCATATTATTACATGCAAGCGTGTTTGAGTTATGGACCAAGTGTTCGGACCCCGTTCCAGGGGGCGCTGTCTAGCCCCCTGCCACACCCAGGTACCATCTTCAGCCCGGCTCTGATGGCTGTGGGATCTGACCTGTGTGCAAAGTTTCAAGAGTTTTCAAACCCGTTAAGGGCCCCAAAAGCCGCTAAGAGTCTCAAAATCATCAAAAAAAAAGAATTTTAAAGTTTGATGCGTTGCCACGGCAACAGTATCAAAGATATCAAGAATCCATTCACAGGTCTTCATCTGCTATGTATTTACATTATACAGATTAAGTTTGAAGCAAATCGGGTAAAAATAAGAGGGTGATTTCAAAGCATTTTGAAAGTGACACACTTCCTGCTGCCAGTTGGTGGCGCTATAACTTTGACTCACAATAGTCACATCCATGTGATCGTCCTCTTACAGCGAACACACTGCTGAAGTTTCATCAAGATCAGTTAATGTATGCTGAAGTTATAACACACTTCCTGTTTCACGTTTCTCGCCATAATTTCGTTTCCTCGCCACGGCCAAACCGTTCGAGATATCAAAAATCCCCTCGTAAACTTTCATCCTCAATGCCTTGACTTCATGCTGACCGAGTTTCGTGCCGTGTGTTTGAATTCTCTAGGAGGAGTACTTCAAATTCCATTGCGAGTGTTTTATGAACAACCCTAAATAACCGACTTCCTGTTGGGCTGGGGTAAAAAGTAATAGTTTGAGGTATATATGAACGATGAGATCAACATGTGTACCGAGTTTCATATTATTACATGCAAGCGTGTTTGAGTTATGGACCAAGTTTTCGGACCCCGTTCCAGGGGGCGCTGTCTAGCCCCCCTGCCACGCCCAGGTACCATCTTCAGCCCAGCCCTGATGGCCGCGGATTCTGACCCGTGTGCAAAGTTTCAAGAGTTTTTGAGCATGTTAAGGGCCCCAAAAGTGCCCAAATAGTCGTATAAATAATAATAATAATAATAATAATAATCGTTAGGAAAACAATAGGGCCTTCGCCCTTTCAGGGCTTGGGCCCTAAATATGTCTTGAGCACCAAATCAGCATATTGGATTGATTTCTGAAGGATTATAAGACACTGAATACTGCAGTACTGATGCTGAACATTCAGCCTTGCCACCACATGAATAAATTACATTTTAAAATAGAATTAAAAAACTGATATTTGAAATTGCTAAATTTTACTGTTTATCCATTCCTTATACTGTGTTCTTTCAAAAACATGAAAAAGTCTTACCTTCCCCCAATTTTTATAATATGCATTGCATTAGTTCTCCTTACTGAGGATTGACAGATCGATGGACGCGACAGATCCATTCTGAAAGGAATATCATTCTGAATATAATTGATATGGATTCCATATGCAGGCGTGCCATGGACCCTGCACACGTGGCTGGAGTCCCTGCGGACGTGCTTTGTGCAGCAGCGGCGACCGCTGATCCAAGGCCTGCTGAAGGACTTCAGCTGCATTAAAGAAGACGAGTACACAGAGGAACTTATCACGCACGGACTGCCACTCATGTTCCAGATCCTTCGAGCCAGCAAGGTCTCAATGCTTTATTACAGCCTGAGCCAGTATCAGCCCTTTATTTACCGATACTTCCTGATCATAACAGGAGACATTAGTGTAGAGTTGTGAAGTGCATTAATTCAGAGCTACTACACTCCTCCTGCTGTAATTAGTGTTATTTTAAAATTATTTATATAGTATTGTAGTATTTATTGATAGCTTTTATTTTTTATTTTCATTTTTAGGCATTTTGTATGTGCTTTTGAAATTGTATTAGTTTTTCTTTGAGTATATTTTATTGGGCTTTTTCTGTTAATTCTGAAGGCAACATTTCTATATTTTGTTCAGGTTTTTCCATCTAATTGAATTTTATTTTATTTCGATTAAGAATAGTACACCCCAAAAAAGAAAATTCTGTCATCATTTACTCACCCTCAAGTTTTTATAAGTTTTCTTTGTTCTGTTGAACACAAAATAAGATATTTTGAAGAATGTTGGTAACCAAACTGTTTTTGGTCCCCATTGACTTCCATAGTAATTTCTTTTTCATATTCTGAAAGTCAGTGGGGACCAGTTTGGTTACTCACATTTTTCAAAATGTGTTCAACAGAACAAAGAAACTTAATGTTTAGAACAACTTAAGGGTGAGTAAACTATAACAGAATTTTCTTTTTTGGGGCAAACTATCCCTTTAATAAAAACTGTTTTAATAGTTTAGCTGCTTGTTTTAGACTCTATAATATTACAGCGCAGTTTTGTTGTCATTTAACACTTTAAATTATTTGCAACACTATTTAGAATTTAATGTCCCTCGTAAGTCTCTGCATTATTCTTATCACTGCGTGTCAGTCCCTGTCTCTTAGCAAACAGGCAATCAACGTCAGCCACGCCAGTTCAGCTTTCTCTGTAATTAACAAGATAAATCCTCTCATTACAGAGCTCATCACAAGTGCCGTGTTGCTGTTACCGTAGGCTTGGATGTGTTTTACTTTTAGAAAACAGAATTTAGGGTCGAACTACACCATGTGTGTTTGTGTGATCTACAGAATGAGGTGATCAGCCAGCAGCTGTCAGTAATCTTTACCCAATGCTACGGGCCTTTCCCAATCCCCAAACTCACAGAGATCAAAAAGAAGCAAACGTCACGTTTGGGTGAGTATGTCAGTGGCACCATCTTGTTAAAGGGATAGATCACTTTGAAATGATTTTTTGGTATGTTTTAGCTTACTTCAAGGGCATCCAAGATGTAGGTGTCTTTGTTTCCACAGTAGTTTCAATTTTGATATTTTTAGGTCAAACCGTTCGTGTCCATCAGTCATATAAAGCAGGTCTATGGTCACCACCTCAAAGAGCATGCACAGAGAAGTCCAAATTAAACATGATTTATATAAACAGTATTTATATCGTTTTTACCTCTTGTAACCACAGCAACATCCAATTGATCTGAGGGCGCGGGTGCTTTGTGGCTGTGGTAACAAGAGGTAAAAACGATATAAATACTGTTCGTTTTATCACACAAACCGCTCGTTTCGTGTCTTAGGCCATCAATGTGTACTTACATTTACGAGTCATTAAATCATGTTTAATTTGGACTTCTCTGTGCATGCTCTTTGAGGTGGTGACCATAGACCTCCATTATATGACTGACAAACAAGAACGGTTTGCATGGTTTGTGTCTTTCAAAGGGACTTCATTTCTGTTCTGCCTCTACATTACCAACAATATCAATAATTTCACTGAATCAAACAAGCTAGAGTGTTTGGCCTGTGCTGCTTTTCAGCACATCAGCAAAATTGCTGAGACACAACAGTTCTATAAACAGGAATTTAAAGTAGAGGCACAATAATTTTGTCTGTTTTTGCTCCGCTAATAAAAAAAATATTAGACAACCAAAACTAACTGTTGTATAATGCACATTATGTGTCAATTCAGATCATTAGAAAAGGCCAAATCAACATGTGCTGCACAAGGATTCAAGTTAATTGGTGAAGCTTGTTAAATCCATGTGTTAAGCTGCAGTAGTCAAACATCAGTTTCAGTCAGGAGACAAAAAAGTAGCCTATGTACACTTTTAGTTCAATTTCATTTGACTCTCAAAGTTTTGGAGGAACACTAGTGCCATCTAGGCTTTGGTTAAGCTATTGCCAGGTATATAATTATAAAACTGACATCTGTCATGCTCTTTCATTTAATGTGTTGATGACAGCCTGTCAAACTCAAGACAAGCCACTACTTCTAAATAATGAAAACGCTTGTGTAAACAGTGTTGTGTAATATTGCGTCTCCAACTTAGGGACTTCATCATTTGATTTGTTGCATCCCACAGATCCACACTTTCTCAACAATAAAGAGATGTCTGACGTGACATTTCTGGTGGAAGGAAAGCCATTTTATGCCCATAAAGTGCTGCTTTTTACTGCCTCAGCAAGGTATGTCTTGATGTTGTAGAATTTATTATACAGCAACAGGAGCGGCAGAACTTTTTTACCTTTAGCAAACGTGCTTAAAAGCGCTTTCCTAATATGGTCTATAATTCACTGTAGTTTTAGCACCGGATGTTATTTCAAACGGTCATTTGTGCTCATGATAAGAATAAAAATGTCAGAAGAGTAAACTTAAAATGTATGTATATCTATCTATGTATGTCTATGCATGTTTATACTGTATAAACTCCAAATAACTTTTGTTCATCTTCGAAACACAAAAAGATATTTTAAATGAAGTCTAAGAGATCTCTGTCCCTCCTATAACATGCATGAATTAAAAAAACTAAAAATTAAATGTACAAAATGCGCATGTGAATTTTAATTCAAAAACGGTATGGTTTCTAATTGTTGACATTTCAATTTCATCTCAAGATAACATTTTAATAATAAAACCTTTCCAAATCTGTGAGGTTTGCAAGAATATTAATTCATGCAAAGTGACTGGATTTTCTAGGATTCATGAGCCAATTCATATTCATGACATTACATCATATCCTGCTTTGCAATTCCGAATATCTTACAGCCACACAATATAAAATGTAAATGTTTTTACTGAGCTTTATAAAAAAATGATTTTGTAATAATACAGCACTTAAAGGACGTTAATGTTTCTCTTTACCTCTTTCTGACTTGCAGGTTTAAGTCTCTGCTCTCTAACAGACCAGCAGCTGAGAACACGTGCATCGAGATCAGTCATGTCAAGTACAACATTTTTCAGGTTGGAATCTTCTGGTTCATAAATCCCACTCAAACTCATGTGGTATTACAGTCAAACTGCGCTACCCTAATTCCCTTCTCTGTCAACACAGTTCGGCTTAGTGACAAAATACGTCTGTACATTTGTGACTAGTGCTAAGCGTCTGTCTTAAAATGTTTCTTAGAAGTTTGAGAACTTTTTCGTGTGTTTCAGCTGGTAATGCAGTACCTCTACTGTGGTGGCACTGAGTCTCTGCACATCAGGAACACTGAAATTATGGAGGTATTAAATATTCTCTTCCCTTTCCTCCTTTATGCTCCTAATTCGTGCTAACCCGTAACCCTTTTTTCATCACCATGGCACCCACACACTAATGATGACTTAATGATTAATGACTTGAGATGATGTTGAATGTGATGAATGAGTGAATTACGGTCTGATGGCGTATGGGAGATTTCTTATCGGAAAACACTTTGAGAAAAAAAAAAATCTATATGTAATCTCTCATTTATCTTTACCAGATGGAGGCTCTCTTGCACGTAGAACTGCAGCAGAAATTTTGATGAATGTTTATGTATTTTAAACTTAATTAAGCGATTGCTCTTGATCGTTATAAACCTGAAAGCTTGATGAGTTTGGCTCATTAACAATCCCTCTGCTTCAAAGCTCCTGTCTTCAGCCAAATTCTTCCAACTTGAGGCTCTCCAAAGACACTGTGAAATCATCTGCTCCAAGAACATCACGACCGACACCTGCGTGGACATATACAAACATGCTAAGGTACTCTGAAACATTCATTTAGATGTCAATCTAATGCACTTTTATTCATACATTGATTAGGTATTTAATGTGTTGTTAGGATCGGAGATTGTACATTGTATGTTTGACAAATGCAGCATGCCAACGAGAATGCGACCTGTTTTAGTAATTGCTTGTCTGTCTGTATAAATGTCAGCAGCTTAATTTGCTCTGCTTGTTTTGAGTCTTTAGAAATATACAGATCAGGGGCGTAGCCAGAATTTTATTTTTGGGGGGTCCTGTCTTTAAATGAGGGGGCAACATTATTTATATACACTGTATATCAAGTTGATCTTTCCGTGCTTTTTTAAAAAAGTGTAATATTGTACTTTGAGTTTGAGTGCCTGCCATTGTCACGGCATATTAACTCTCACGCAAAGATGAAGATGACAGCGTACGTTACGCGCAACACGTTATATAAACAAATCAAGTTTGAAAATAAGCTGCATTTTCCCGCGCAGCATTTTGATTGGTCAATCTATCAATCCTAATAAAACAACTTTTTTTTTTTTTTTAAGCAATCAGAAAATCTGAGGGGACCGGACATGTAAATGAGGGGGCCTAGGCCCACCCAGGCCCCCTCGTGGCTACGCCACTGATACAGATAAAGTATCTGTGTGAATATTTAGACAAGAATTGGTGTACATTATGTTATGCTTGACCACTTTGTGTTAATTCGTGCGTCAAGAGCGAAACTGATGCGCGTAAAAAAAGAAAGTTTATAAAGTAAAAAAAAAAGTTTGAAGCGAAATTTACGCGCATCAGAATCGAAATCCGTTGGCGGCCATTTTTTGTGTCGACCCAGCATTCATCGAGAGAGTCACCGCTCTGTATTTGCTCTAGAGAGCAGAACAGTAACGTGTTAGTCATATTACAAAATAATTTATTGAAGCATTCACCACGTGAGCAAGCAGCAGGCTCCTGATTGGTTAACACGACGCGAACTTGACGCCAAAGTTCCGATTTTTCTCGGGCGGCAGGCGCGAATTCGCGTCAAACGTGTGAATGCACAAATAGCACTAACTAAATCATTCGGGCTTAACGCGCCAGACGCTCAATTCGCGCCATTTGCGAATGAGGCGAATTTGCGTCTACCAGCCACAGGAATTTTTTATGCGCGTAACGTGTCTTTGAATTGACTTAACATTGAAATCATCCGTGCCTGACGTGCTATTCACGTACGGTGTGAACGCAGCATTAGGGAAAAATTACTAAACATTAACTCAGAATTATGAATAGTGTCTCACAATGTCATTACGTCCCACTCATCCTCAGTTCCTGGGGGCCTCGGAGCTGGCAGCCTTCATCGAGGGCTACTTCCTGAAGAACATGGTGCTCCTGATCGAGCTGGAGAACTTTAAGCAGCTACTGTATGAGGTTCCTGCCGAGAGCCCCGGTCCAGGCCCGTCCTACGACGTCCTCCATGACCTCGAGAGAACCCTGGCCCTGCGCATCCGCTCCATCCATCTCTCAACCTCCAAGGGCTCCATCGTGTGACACGTTCTCCATGCTCATGCCAACTGTTCCTTACAGCGGTTTCATCAAGAGCTCCATTATTGTGTGCCAACCACTTGGAGACATTTCAAACATCACCGCCGACATGACAAGCACCTGCCCGACGGGATGAGCTGTAGGGAAGGCCAAGAGATGGGTTTTAGTCCACAGGCTAACATCTCCACAACGTTGCAGAAACGTCAGCCTGCGGAGCTCATACCATTCCAAGGGCTACGTTACGTCGTGGAAACATTCTAGCAACGTTGTGACAAGCTAATCACGCCCCAACCAATGTTAGTGCCCAGGGAAACCATGGCTTCTGATGTCATCACTGCCTCGGCGATGCATGTGGATTGGGCCAGTTTCATTTTTAGGTGGAACTGTCACCAGGCTACCCGCTGTGGACAGTTTTAGTAACACACACAGTTATATTACTGTACTCTCCGATTGATGTAATAGTGTTAGCCTGCCCTCTGAACCCTGAATTTGTGTAACATTTTCTCCAAGTGTCACTAAACGCTAAGCCAACAATGCATGTTAGGTTCGGTAGGTGATATCGCCATCAAGTTCCTAAGCATTTGTTTTCAAGTTAGGACAAAAACATCCGCTAGGTGTAGAGTTTGTAAAACGGAGGTGTTTTATATACTTACTAATACTCACATCCAACTACAACTTTTGGTATTTGTGACACAGAACAATATGCCGGCTGTTTAAATCCTAGCACTTGTGTTTAAAGCTTCGCGGTTTTAAGGAATAGGGATTTGCTACCTTCAGTCTTTTGATCCAACATAAATTATCCAAGTAGACTAAACTTATTTGAGTTGTTTCTTTTAGTTGATTCTTCTCACCATCGTGTCCAGATCTGAGCTTTTCATTTCAGCCCACACGTTTTAATGACCCTCCAATCTACCACTGTGCTTGGCACACTTAAAACTGAGCAGTTCATCTTTGCCTTGAGGTCGTGTAACCAACGATCTGTGTTGAATAATCTGCATGGGTCTGGAACTTTTGTAAAAATACACACACATGGAGCTCATTTTCCTTTAGTGGATGCAGAATTCTTTACTAAATTACGGAATTATTTACTATGGTCCTTTGAGGTCTTCGTTGCTTGCGAGTCTGTCTAAATCGTGTTATGAAAGATGCCATTGCACTGGTCGCTAACTTCGTGGCCCAATGTACAAATCCCCAGTCCTCACCTGCTGCACTGCTTTTGTTCAATGTGAAAAATGTGAAGCCAGCTCAAAACAAGCTGTTTTTAGTGTGCATGTTCTGGTTTTACCCGTGTTAGTCTGTAACCCTTCAGGATGTTGGTAAGTTAGGAACTGTACCTGACGTATAGTGTTACCAGCAGAAGATTTTTTTGACCTGGCTGAACCCAAAGTAACAGATTTCTATTTACGACATTTCATCCAAAGACTATCTAGAAGTTACATCAAAATTTCACCATTTATCAGCACACATGAGAAGTGACTATATGAATAAGTACGCATGACGTGCTGGTAGTGCTGTCAAAGAGTCCTGTTTCGTTGTATGATTTATATTTCGTGTATGTAATTGAATAACTTGGTTATGAACATCCTCATGTAAAATGAAAGGTTGGATTATAACTAAATTTAAAATGAACAATTGAAATACATACTGATATGTAGCGGACAATATCACGATGCAAATAATTTAAAACTGTGAAGATTTTATTTTAAAGAAACTTAGTATAGTTACTTTATTTTCTTACAAAGTACATTTATAATTGTGCAATCCCTGTCTGCTATTTTGTGATAATAAGTCATAATGTAACTGTATCTTTGCAAAACGTCAATGCTTTGACAAAAGCTAACACAAAAACAGACAAGGATAAATCATGTTCATGTCATTTTGATGATCGGACCTGCTTAATTGCAATGTCCTCGGCAAACCCCACCATTTGTGTTCACGGTTTAAAGAAAAATGATTTGTAAAAGCAATACTTGACACAAATATGTCCATGCAAGGTCAGTGCTCTCCTACTACTTGTGCTTAGCATGGATGCTTCTCCATGTAGCCAAATGTAAAGCAGAGGCCAATGTCATGAAGTGTTCGTAAAAGCTATAAACCTCCCCACATAAAAAGATACTTGCTCTGTGCTTCTTGGCTTCAGCTTTTTTTTTTTTTTTTTCCTGCTTCAAGGCTGTTAAACATGCTTTAACTCTTCGGTCTCCACTAAGGCACACTTTAGACAAAAACCTGCATGCTTTGGCTGGATCAGAGTCTAACAGAATTTGTTTGCTCTTATTATTTCACCTGATTGAAACATTGTACATTGTACAAAAGATATATAGAGAAATATCTATAGAACTTGGTGTAAATATAAGGGACGTGGTTGAGTTTAACAATCGAAAAAACAAGAATGTTACACTTGTGCTACAGTACAGTTGTTCAATGACATGCATTTGTGTACAGTCAATAGAAATTACCACGATTGACCACTGTGTTGGGTCATCAATAAATTTCTGTGATAAACTGTCGAGTCTTGATTGATTGCCACCTTACATGAGTTCAACAGAGCTTGTTTGTCACTTCATTGAGAGTGTGGGTGCAATTTTGCCACATGTAAAGAGGTTTGGTCAAGTTGCAAATCCTTTTTGGAAGACTAAAATGGTGATCTTGCCTGTTAAATGCCCAAATTGAAACTTTTTTTTCAATTTTCTGAACCTTGATGTCATTTTTCACAACTCTAGACACAAAACTCACAACCAATGATGAAAATGCACATTTTTCAAAACTTTAACCATTTATTAATTTAGATCATTTGTTCATTTAACATAAATGACCTGTTCAATATGACACAACTTAACATCACAGTACTACTATTTCAAAAGGCAATTCACACATTACATTTCAAATGAGTGTCTATTCATTTCCTTTCAATGATAGAACTATCAATTGATACAACTGCTCAAAATGATAAGTTACTGTTGCAGTATAGACACACAATCATCCATATTTACGGGAAATCATGAAAGTTTCAAGATAACGAGATTCAATGTCACCAATTAGCGTGGAGCATGAACCAATTTGACTATTATATCAATGGATTTAGCATAATATTAAACTGTTAAATTAATTTATTACACTGTTACTATTAAATTATTACTGTGATAATATAAACTGTTGTGATTGTACTAGTGTTTTGCATCAAGATCACACACTTTGTTCAATATGTGTGCATTCTCTCTACTACTGCAGTACTTTTACGGAGATATTTACTGTACCATAATGAAACCTGTATTACCTATTTTGTCCTAATAGAATGATTGTATGAACAGTGACATTGAAACTACCGATTGCTTGTGTGTGGTTGATCTATAGTTATGTTTCAATGGTATTTCACAGTAAATTTGTTTTTTGAACCAATGATTGTGCAAGTGCAAGATTTCATTAAAGATGTGAAAGCAGTGCACAACGAAATGTTTTGAACATTAGACAGCCTGTGTTACAAGCACGGCCGCATTAACCATAGGGCTAGGCGGGGCTTAAGCCCCGGGGCCCAAGCAAGGAGGGGGCCCGTGATTGGCTGTGGAGCAGATACTGCAAGCCATCTGATTACCAAAGCCTTACCACGCAACGTCCCCCACAAATTATCCCTGTTATTTAGTTGCACTTTGCCTTATATTCCATGCATTATCATGGAATCATTATCATTAATAGAGACGTTCGCAAAGACCCGCCTTTTTTAGGTATTATGTGACGGACGGGCCACGAGCCAGGCGGCTCTCGCGAGTCACGCACATCATGTTCTCATGCACTCACGCAGTGAAAAATACTTCGCGGGGCAAAGACTAACGTTACACCGAGTGATTACGAGAGAGAGTTCATGGCAGCTTACTGTTGATATGAAACAAAGTCTCAACTTTCAAATATTGTCATTTAAGTAATTTAAACATTACCGTTTTCAAGTTCATGTCCACCGACTGACAGCTTTGTTGTCGGACAAAGTTGCGTATTCGGCGTTATGATTGGCCAGGCCACCTGTCAATCAAACCCCCTAGGCATGCAGGGCCAACGGCTCTGAGCAGGGCATGGTAAATTGAAACGTCAGGTTTTAATTTGATATGACAAATATATTTATTCTATATTTAACTTGTGAACACCGACCTGCTGCTGCACGTAGGCCTATAGATGATTGCTGCCTGCGCCTTATTAGAATAGGTTATATATCAACCAATAAATCGCCTTTACTCTTCTCTTCATTCTAGTCTATTCTTAAAACACAGCGTCATCATCGACCCCACAAACTTTCGGTAAGTTTGAATATTAACTTGATGGATGTATAATTTTGCTTTTTGTGTTTGATTAAACTCTATATTCGCCTAAAGGACTGGCGATAATATATCCGGTAGAAATATTTAAATTTTGCTGCGCCATCATGATGTAAGTTTATCATTTAAACGCGCGTTTTTAAACGTTGTGGTTTGGATACAAAATATTTCAAACTGCTCAGGCACAGTGAGCAGCGGGAGAATTTATTTTGTAAATGCTGGTTTTGAGACCAAGGTGAACCATAGACTGTGGTGAACTTGAGACGGTTTTGCACAGCGCACTTGAATCCGACTCTGAGGTCTCAAAGTGACAGACGCTGCTAATAAAGCTGCTGTCGCCATGTGTGTCAATAATGTTAATCAAACATCAGAAAGAAAGTAATTTACTGCATTTGACTGAATTACTTTTGCAAAATTAACAAGAATGAATGTTGAATTTGTAGTGAAAACCATGTATTGTATATTTGATTACTTTATATAATATTATTCAGTGCTTTAAGTTTTTCATAGGTCGATTTATTGTGCCTTTGTTCTATTTTAATTTGTGACTCTTGTCATCAGTAAGCTTGAGATTATTTTCTTAAGCTACTATTATTTTTTGGTGATATTGAAATTGGTCACAATAATTATGAAATTTTAGTCAATACATTTTGATATGATAAAAAAATCATGTTAAAAGTAACATAACTTAACTGTGAAGTATATCATGGATAAAATGACTCGTAGGCTATAATAATATAACATTTAGCTCATGTAGTTGGTGACCTAAAGTGGTGGGGGGGCCCTGCAGTAACTCATAGCCCCGGGGCCCAGTGAGCTCTTAATACGGCCCTGGTTACAAGTAATAACCGTTTTGAGTTTTGTGTCTAGAGTTTTGAAAAATTACATCAAGGTTCTGAAAATAGTAGCAACGTGATTGTAAAAAAAAAAAAAAAAAAACTGTATTTATACTGTAACAGTAAACCCATTCCCACACCTAAAAATACATATTTTAATCACTGTTAAAACCTCTATATCACAAAACTTAACATCTAGCATAGTTGTATCATTGGTAGAATATAAAATATTTCAATACCAACAAGTAAAATATAATGCAGGCTAATGAAAATATGGGGGCAATGTGCAATAACTTAAACTTTCTAAATTAGCCTACACGCCACCACCTACTTGAGAATTTGATACAAGTAAGTGCTAACGATAATAGCCTAACATTTCCGTGTTTCTTTGGGCTAAATTACTCATTTTATTAAACAAATGCTGAATTCTTTAAGTTCTATATTACACAGTGTATATTTTACATTAAATTTATTTTTGCACTAAAATTACTTGTGAGCAAATGGCGGAATTAGTAACAATTTGGATTTTAACAGCAGAATCCAACCTCAAAATTAAGCAACTTTAAGCAAACATCTGATTGCACTATTCAATACTATTCAACTGATCGAAAATGTTATTTTACCTGTAGCATATATTTTATCGGGAACAATTTAGCCATTGCATTTATCACTTGACAAATGGCCGAAATTTTTCTGCATTATAATAATTTCTTTATTTGGTTTAAGATCAAAGATTATTTGGACGTTGTCGCCGCCTGGTGGTCAAAGGATGCATAGCATATACGCGTAAACTGCGTTGACACCATAGGTCGAATATTAGGTCGTTATTTTTTTGCAGTCTATGGGTTAGACACGGGTTCATGTGTGAGCTGAACCATTGATATGTAAAAAAAAACGTTTCGAGTCAGTTATGGCGTAACCGTAAACAAACGAAACAAACGATTCGCAAAGGTTTCGAAGCTTACGTAACGACGTCACTAGCAGTTATCTCCTCCCATTCCAGGAAGAGATTGTCGTTTTTGACAGAAGGCGCAGCAGCAAGCAGCTAACTAACTTTCTAGTAAAGTTATTCTTTCCCTGTTAGTGTTATAATTATCCGTCGTCGTTACTTGATAGAATCTCTGTAAACACTGCAGGAGAAAATGTCCTTCGTCATCAACGTGAGTAACAGTTATCTATATTTTAAATAAATGCGTATTTATTCCATCGCCTACGGGTTTTTTTTATTGCAGCACGCATACTCTCATACTCTCAATGTTACTGATGTTTCAAGAATTTAAATAATGCTAACGTTAATTGTATCCAGTTTGTTGGCATTCTCTGTGCATCACACACCCATTTTGTTTTTAGCCTTTGTGCAGGACACGCACACATTGTAATTTCGTAAATGAACCTATTTGGTATGTTAAAAATTGCCGTTTTATTTTCCTTTCTCTAGCTGATCTCTGGCAGCCTTCGGTTCGTGTTTGATTTGCTCCGGAGACTCTTTGGCAAGAGCAGACCTGCCATTACCCTTGAAGACCCCAATTTGAAGTATCCATTGCGCCTTGTGGACAAAGAAGTGAGGATATTTTAAAATGTGATGGTTTAACTTGTGCATAACTCTTCTTTAACTCTTTCTTTCTGCCTTGTATTAAGATTGTTAGCCATGACACAAGAAAATTTCGCTTTGCTTTAAAATCACCAGATCATATTCTTGGACTTCCTATTGGTGAGTGCAGTAGATTGCTGTCTTTTTGCATTTGACCATTGTTCATTCATTGGCTAACTTGAATATGTTGAATCATTGTATTTTTAGGGCAACACATCTACCTGTCTGCCAGGATTGATGGCAACATTACGGTGAGGCCTTACACCCCGGTGTCTAGTGATGATGACAAGGGCTTTGTGGATCTGGTGGTGAAGGTATGCGTATAACAATAACACAAATATAGATTGTTAAAATGGTTACAAATGCTAAAATAGTTTTTTTTTTCTCAATTTATTCTTTATTTTAGATATACTTCAAAAATGTCCATCCAAAATTTCCAGAGGGTGGGAAGATGTCCCAATATTTGGAGAGCCTTCGTATTGGTGACACGATTGATTTCAGAGGACCAAGTGGACTTCTGGTTTACAAGGGCAAAGGTTTGTACTCTTGAAATCCACTGTGAGTCAGAGAAAAGCTATGAAAGCAACTGAAATAAAAATTTCTTAATGAAGTTACACTATCAATATTTTTGCAGGGTCATTTGCAATCAGGCCTGATAAGAAATCCGACCCTGTGGTGAAAACCGCAAAACATGTTGGCATGATCGCTGGTGGTACAGGTAATCACATTATCATCTATTTCATTATTATATCAGTTTTTGGAGCGCAATAAAACTATTACCTCTTTGTTTTATTTTCTTTAGGCATTACACCTATGCTCCAGATAATCCAAGCAATCATGAAAGATCCAAAGGATGAGACTGTGTGCTATTTACTTTTTGCAAACCAGGTGAGCCAAAGTTTTTTTTTTCATTCTGTCTGTGTATATATAGTTTTGGTTTATATTACATTTATATATGTTAAAAAGATGTAGTAATTATAAACCCAAACTATATTCTATTCTAAACCCAAACTATATTCATGTTAAAAGTGAGTGTAATTCCTGTGGACAAAAATACAACTCGGTTCAATTTGTTTGTCATGGAAAGTATTTAAAACTAAGAATTATTCCCACTCACTTCTCTTCATGTCTTCAAACAGACAGAAAAAGACATTCTCCTACGCACTGAGTTAGAAGAGGTCATGGCCAATCACCCGACACGCTTCAAGCTGTGGTACACCGTCGACAGGGCACCAGACGGTAAGAACATCTTGTTTTTACAGATAGAAAGAACAATTTTACTTTAGGTGACATTAATATTTGACTAGAGGGTGACGCGTTGAAATATTCAATTTCATGTGGTAGGCTGGGAATACAGCCAAGGCTTCATCAGTGAGGATATGGTGAAGAACCACCTTCCTCCACCCGGTGATGACACACTCATCCTCATGTGTGGACCTCCTCCCATGATTCAGTTCGCCTCCAACCCCAGCCTGGAGAAGGTGGGCCATTCCATTGACAGGCGCTTCACCTTCTAGATGGGCCTTCTTCACCTGTGACACTTGAAAGCAAGCGGTTTTGCATTAAGCAAGTGCAGCTTCAGTTAAAATGATAGCCATGCTACCACCTGCCAAATGCCTGTATGGCTTTCACACATTTTACCTGCGTAACTGATCTGTATATGATGCAAAGAAAATGCCTGTACGTTTTCAGTTATATCAAAATGTACTCACTGTTTTTTTTTTTTTTTTTTTGGAAAATTCTGCATGCATAAATATTTATCTGCCATTAAGTCATGGAGAAGTTGTGTGTGTTTTATGCCTGGATTACAGCAAACTTTTTTTTTACATTTTGCAATATATATAATCAGATGAAGGATGAGATTGGAATGGAATGCAACGTTACACTTGCATTTTTGCTTAATTATGCACCTTTTAATCAACAAATATTGATGATTTGTAATAGTGTCTGTGTTATACATTTTTACATAAGCAGCAACAACAAGCTGTTCATCAAAGTTCATGCTCAGTCATTAGTTTTACACTAATCTTATTAATGCAATCACTCTAAGATGGATCACTCTGTAGGGGGACCTGGTGTTGATCAGTGAGTTTACACTGCTCATTTGCCTTGTTATATCAAAACTTGTTTTTTAATTTGTCAAAACAAAAATTTAAGAACAAATCGGGGGTTTGTCCTTTATTAAGTGCCTTTCGGATAACATTATTATATTGCATAAATTAGATTCAGTTCTAAATGCATGATTCCATACAGTACATGCTGAATTCAATGATTAAAAACAAAAGTATATATATTTTTTTGTATTATTTCACCAGTTTTATACCTTTTTGTACAAGACTTGTTTGCTGTTCACCACGCTTGTCTACATGGCCGAAGCATATTCCTCCAATAATTTATCATTGACCAATAAAATTATATTCTTGATTGTTTGTGTAGTTTGTAGTCAATATTTCAAGTTGTTTCATGTGTTAAAATGCTCTCTGTAAGAATCTAATTTCTTTAAAATTGCAAACTATTGGCCTCCAAGCAAAAAACTTGCAATAAAAACAATATGACTGTTACGTACTCGTACGTATTTAAGTGTTGCAATATGGATGTGGGTGTGTTGTTGTTATTGTAGTGTGTGTTTCAGGTGTCCGTTGGATCAATCTGCTGTCAATCTTCATCATTACGGTGACGTTTCGGTTCGCCTCCTCCAATTACATCTCACCACTGCAGTTAAAGACCGGGCTCACCCAAATGTTGAACAGCTGTTTGCTCACTTTTGTTTGTTCCCTTGTTTGATTTGCTTTCAATGAGTTTCTGTGTGTGTCTAACATTTCAGTTGCTGTTTATTGTTGCTTAGTGTTTTGAGATTATAATGTCAACCTGATAATTTTACACGGAGTGTGTAAAGCTGGGAAGAGAGCAGGTTAGTAGGTCGCGCGACATACACTTTGCACTTAGGATATTGTTGATTATGTTATAGACACAATAGTTTAGGACAGTGCCCACTTTGTAAGTTTTTGTTATGTAGTTAGTATAGTTTTAGTTAGAGTGTCTTGACGCCGAAGATTATTATTTTCTACATTTTGTGTTTGGTAGTTATTTTAGTTAAACTTAACCTTTAGATAATTCGTTTTGTTTTATTGATTTCTTTGATTTGGGATCTCTCGTGCTCATTTTCCCACTTTAAGTATTTGTTAAATGTTATGTCTGTTATTGTTCTTATTTATTGTTTGTACCTGTGGCAAACACATTTTTTCAAACGAAAATGGCAATGAGGATCCTTTTTGAGCTGAGTTCTGATCGAGTACGTTTTTTTCTTGTTCTGTCCTGCACTTTGAGAGACACACACTGTTTTTATAAATGTTGCTCCCTTAATCCCTAGAAAAATAAAAGAGGGACGTAACAATGACAAAAAATTATAAGCAATAGGTTGCTTGACAACAGCATCCATAATTCTATAGCATAACATCCTTAATTCTAAAAGAGGGAGCATTTGGTAATTTGCCTTATACACATTTAACACAATAGATGGAAACTTGCTTGAGTATGAAAATGTTAAAGTACCAGTATATGACTTTTATTTTTAATATAGTCATTGCCAAATTTACCCTGACCCATTGTGAATTTAACTTCCTGTCCAGTGGCCAAGACTGCAAGTGTGGGCAGGCCAATAATCAACTTCATGGGGTAGGGAGTTGTGAGTGCAAGCAGTGAGGATTTTTATTTTTATTTTTCTAACTCTCAATTTGCAACGCTAATTCACAAAAATCACCACAGGAGGGCGCACTTTTTATGTTTATTAGACTCGATTTGCAACGGTGTGTAATTCACACAAATCACCACAGGAGGGCGAAACACTTTTATGTTTATTAGACTCGATTTGCAACGGTGTAATTCACACAAATCACCACAGGAGGACCACTTTTATGTTTATTTATTTCTCAGAATGACAGAAACCGAAGCGCAGTTTTCATCCGCTCCACTAGGCGGCGTGAGAGGGCTTCACTGTCAGAGCGACTCCTTTGGTAATTGACGCTTGTTTATTACAGATATACGCTACATGTGCAGATGACCATTAAAAAAAAAAAAAAAAAAAAAAAAACATGTGCAGATGAAAGGCACACAACTGGACATATTTCAGCAAATAAATCGACATACAGTCCGAAAAAATGCGGGAATTGAGTGTCATTTGACTCCTCGGTAGGTAACTTTTATGGGGTTCCATTTGTGCCAAAAATGAGTCGACTGCTTTGTGCTTTGTACTACACATTTGTCCTTGTCAACAGTCATTGTCTAGTTGATTGTAAAACTGGTATATGTTGATGTGTGTTTTCTCTGTTTATGTCGATTTGATCTGTCGTTCTTACTGTATTGATCTCCTCCTTTTTCAGGAAAAATAGTATATGTTGATGTGTTTGTTCTGTATTTCGTACTTGAACTGTAGTCCAATAGCCTACTGTCGTCCCGTTCTGTCATCTGAACTGTCATCCTGTTCAGTATGGGGTCCATTTGTGAAATTATGTCGACATGCTGTCTGTCTATGCTATGTGTCGTCTTCCTTGTCTATGTGTCTGTTCACTGTCTATGTTCATGTTGTCTGTCTATGCTATGTGTTGTCTTCCATGTCTATGTGTCTGTTCACTGTCTATGTTCATGTTGTCTGTCTATGCTATGTGTCGTCTTCCATGTCTATGTGTCTGTTCACTGTCTATGTTCATGTTGTCTGTCTATGCTATGTGTCTTCCATGTCTCATGTGTCTGTTCACTGTCTATGTTCATGTTGTCTGTCTATGCTATGTGTTGTCTTCCATGTCTATGTGTCTAAGATTGGAGAAACTTAATTTTTCGCCTGAAAAAAAAAACGTAAGGGGTACCACTGTCGTTTTTTTTTTCAGGTCAAATTTTTGAGTTTCGATATCTCAGCTCTGGAAGGGTCTAGAGCCTCCATTTTTGCACTCAGGTCTAAGTCTCATGGCCCTCTATCAGAATCCAGAGTTTTGGGAAGATTGGAGAAACTTAATTTTTCGCCCGAAAAAAAAAAACGTAAGGGGTACCACTGTCGTTTTTTTTTTTCGGGTCGAATTTTTGAGTTTCGATATCTCAGCTCTGGAAGGGGCTAGAGCCTCCATTTTTGCACTCAGGTCTAAGTCTCATGGCCCTCTATCAGAATCCAGAGTTTTGGGAAGATTGGAGAAACTTAATTTTTCGCCTGAAAAAAAAAAACGTAAGGGGTACCACTGTCGTTTTTTTTTTCAGGTCGAATTTTTGAGTTTCGATATCTCAGCTCTGGAAGGGGCTAGAGCCTCCATTTTTGCACTCAGGTCTAAGTCTCATGGCCCTCTATCAGAGTCCAGAGTTTTGGGAAGATTGGAGAAACTTAATTTTTCGCCCAAAAAAAAAAACGTAAGGGGTACCACTGTCGTTTTTTTTTCGGGCCGAATTTTTGAGTTTCGATATCTCAGCTCTGGAAGGGGCTAGAGCCTCCATTTTTGCACTCAGGTCTAAGTCTCATGGCCCTCTATCAGAATCCAAAGTTTTGGGAAGATTGGAGAAACTTAATTTTTCGCCCAAAAAAAAAAAAACGTAAGGGGTACCACTGTCGTTTTTTTTTTCGGGCCGAATTTTTGAGTTTCGATATCTCAGCTCTGGAAGGGGCTAGAGCCTCCATTTTTGCACTCAGGTCTAAGTCTCATGGCCCTCTATCAGAATCCAGAGTTTTGGGAAGATTGGAGAAACTTAATTTTTCGCCCAAAAAAAAAAAACGTAAGGGGTACCACTGTCGTTTTTTTTTTTCGGGCCGAATTTTTGAGTTTCGATATCTCAGCTCTGGAAGGGGCTAGAGCCTCCATTTTTGCACTCAGGTCTAAGTCTCATGGCCCTCTATCAGAATTTGGGAAGATTGGAGAAACTTAATTTTTCGCCCAAAAAAAAAACGTAAGGGGTACCACTGTCGTTTTTTTTTCGGGCCGAATTTTTGAGTTTCGATATCTCAGCTCTGGAAGGGGCTAGAGCCTCCATTTTTGCACTCAGGTCTAAGTCTCATGGCCCTCTATCAGAATTTGGGAAGATTGGAGAAACTTAATTTTTCGCCCAAAAAAAAAAAACGTAAGGGGTACCACTGTCGTTTTTTTTTTCGGGCCGAATTTTTGAGTTTCGATATCTCAGCTCTGGAAGGGGCTAGAGCCTCCATTTTTGCACTCAGGTCTAAGTCTCATGGCCCTCTATCAGAATTTGGGAAGATTGGAGAAACTTAATTTTTCGCCCAAAAAAAAAAACGTAAGGGGTACCACTGTCGTTTTTTTTTCGGGCCGAATTTTTGAGTTTCGATATCTCAGCTCTGGAAGGGGCTAGAGCCTCCATTTTTGCACTCAGGTCTAAGTCTCATGGCCCTCTATCAGAATTTGGAAGATTGGAGAAACTTAATTTTTCGCCCCAAAAAAAAAACGTAAGGGGTACCACTGTCGTTTTTTTTTCGGGCCGAATTTTTGAGTTTCGATATCTCAGCTCTGGAAGGGGCTAGAGCCTCCATTTTTGCACTCAGGTCTAAGTCTCATGGCCCTCTATCAGAATTTGGGAAGATTGGAGAAACTTAATTTTTCGCCCAAAAAAAAAACGTAAGGGGTACCACTGTCGTTTTTTTTTTCGGGCCGAATTTTTGAGTTTCGATATCTCAGCTCTGGAAGGGGCTAGAGCCTCCATTTTTGCACTCAGGTCTAAGTCTCATGGCCCTCTATCAGAATTTGGGAAGATTGGAGAAACTTAATTTTTCGCCCCAAAAAAAAAAACGTAAGGGGTACCACTGTCGTTTTTTTTTTTCGGGCCGAATTTTTGAGTTTCGATATCTCAGCTCTGGAAGGGGCTAGAGCCTCCATTTTTGCACTCAGGTCTAAGTCTCATGGCCCTCTATCAGAATTTGGGAAGATTGGAGAAACTTAATTTTTCGCCAAAAAAAAAAACGTAAGGGGTACCACTGTCGTTTTTTTTTCGGGCCGAATTTTTGAGTTTCGATATCTCAGCTCTGGAAGGGGCTAGAGCCTCCATTTTTGCACTCAGGTCTAAGTCTCATGGCCCTCTATCAGAATTTGGGAAGATTGGAGAAACTTAATTTTTCGCCCAAAAAAAAAACGTAAGGGGTACCACTGTCGTTTTTTTTTTCGGGCCGAATTTTTGAGTTTCGATATCTCAGCTCTGGAAGGGGCTAGAGCCTCCATTTTTGCACTCAGGTCTAAGTCTCATGGCCCTCTATCAGAATTTGGGAAGATTGGAGAAACTTAATTTTTCGCCCAAAAAAAAAACGTAAGGGGTACCACTGTCGTTTTTTTTTTCGGGCCGAATTTTTGAGTTTCGATATCTCAGCTCTGGAAGGGGCTAGAGCCTCCATTTTTGCACTCAGGTCTAAGTCTCATGGCCCTCTATCAGAATTTGGGAAGATTGGAGAAACTTAATT